GACACGTTTTCTGACTATCTATCTGACATACATTCTGACATATTTGATGGCTCACACTCTACCTGACACGTATTATGGTGGTGACAATTTATTTGACATATTTTCTGACATTTTATCTGACATATATTTGAACATGTTGTTTGATATATTATTTGATATGTCATGATATGATAGATATCTTCGGACAGACCAGATGACATAGATTTTGACATTCTACGCATATCAATTCTTGCAATATATATATATACATATATACCATTTTTTATATGTCACTCCGTAAACCCACATTTTACAAAAAAATAACTGTAAACACACTAGACCATCCGTTTTTGCCAATTTCAAGCCATGCCCATATTATTAGGGTCTATGTTTCACGATCCTCCAGTCCCCATTGGTCGGTTGTTATCTTAAATGCAAAATAGTCATGTTTGGTTTCAATCTGGAGTTACCTTTTTGAGTAAATTTAGTTACTTTAATATTTCGTGAGGGGTCGATATCACCCCTTAGGGAAGATGTTCATGTTCTTGGCAATTTTTTGCGGATGTGACTAGTGATCAGCCTCCAATTTGCTTAGCGTGCATGCATAGCTACTTTGACCCACAGAAGCTCACCAAAGGTCCAAAAGAATCCCAGGAGCTCTCCAGTTGAAAAACCACACAACAGCCAGTTGCCCAGTCTTCGGTTCACACCTGCCACAGAGAGGCAATGCAAGAATGTCAAAATGATGGACCAATACATGGTGAATTGTTTGCTTTGGGAAATCGGGCAAATATTCTGAATAGATGGACTTGTTATCTTTGCGTTTCTATGTCATATATATATATACATATGTAGCACATACTGAACCAATTCCAGGGGCACATGCATGGGAAGGTCGTTGGGTAATGGTACCAGCGATCCTGGACAGTGACAGTGGCGGGATCATTTCCTCCAGTTCGTCCCACCTGGCATGATGACCTATGATGATTCACTACTTAAAACATCTTAAAACCTATTTGGATATATTTGCGGGTTTCCATAAATGGGGATATCCCCACATGGATAGTTTATAATGGAAAACATTTTTCAATAGATGATTTAGGAGTACCCCCATTTTAGGAAACCCCCATTTGGATATATATATATATATAAGATATATATATATATTTTGGGATATATTGATGTTTGGGATGTTTGGATATTGCCTGGGATGATATTAGGATAAATTTGGTTTCCCGATAGAGAATCCACCAGATTTTTGGGAACCCATGGGGAACACATATATCGAATCACCAAATCATCAAAGCTATGGGTTTCTAAATGGGGATGGGTCAAAACCCTGGTACCTAGTGAACCCCAAAATAGCTGGTAAATGGATGTTCATCCCACTAAAAATGGTATTAATAGGTATTGATCCATACCCAAATCAGTAGTTGCAGAACATGGACACCCTTTGAGGTGGACTTTGAGGTGCCAAAATCCATCATTTTGTTCAAAAAAAGGTGGCCAGAAAATCCACAAACGGCATCATCCCAAAGCAAAGAAGATCCCGCGGTGGTGAAGGCTGCTTTGCAGCCCTGAGCCTCAGACAACGGTAGTCCATGAATCATGTGGACCCTGAAGGCTCATTTTGTTGTTTTGGAATCATGATATGTTTGATGTTTGAAAAAAGAAAAAACGGTTTCGACTTCTATTTTTGATGGTTTGACGTTTGACCAGTTGATGTATTTCTGGTTTATTTACATACTTGTTTAGATTGTTTAAGTATATTTGTTAGTTAAAATGTATGTATTTTTATTGATATCCTAAATTGGGTTTATGCTGAAGAGATATTCTTGATTGAACATGCACGTTCCCCTTACTCTTAGTTTCCATAATTTGTATCATAAACTGGGGTATCCAGCTGGCTTGAGACCATCCGGACTGGAAAACTGCATCTGGCTGCTGAATCCGCTGCAGGGAAAACATGCAATTGGCCTCCGGCTCAGTGACTGGACACCAGCAGGTGTTTGTTTCTGCCGGGGTCATCAACAGCCAGCATTATCCTCGTGCAAAGGATGGAACTAATCACTTTTTTCACTACTGGCGACTACTGGGATTATCTGGGATTGCATGCCGTTAGAAAACGATTCTACTGCCAAGCCTGGTTGCGCCATGATGAACCTTTACATCATACATGCTTTGATGTACAGATACAATCAGATAACAAGTGCCTGGATGATTTGAGCATGAACATCTTACAGCCTGTAGATTCTCAGGGGCCACTGGGAACCTTTGTGGCCGGTCGTATTTTACATTATACTCATTATAAATATAAATATGGATATTCTATAAAGATGTGTTCTATTTTCTATCCAACCTGGGACAATCATCCTAGTGGATAAGCAATATATCAATATAGTGTTCAGCTCAGAAACCACCCAGCCACCTATTGCCGAGGTGGGCAGGCAGCCTGGAGAGCAAAGGCAGTAAGTGTTTGTGGGGGGGTCGCTTCCCCGGTTATCAATGAAGGTTTCCTAAATTGGGGGTAACCCAAGTCACCATGGGTTTCAATACGAAAATGGTCTAATGAACTGGGGTACCTCTATTTTTGGAAACCTCCAAATGGGATAATGGCATTCGAGAAGTTATTAAGCCAAGTTCTTCACCGGTTACGAATTCCAAGGTGGAATGCGGAGGATAACAAAAATAAACACACCTAGTAGATCCTAGTAGGGGAATCTATCAGGTGGAGCTACTCTGAGGTGGGTTTGTGTCAAGGGATACACATGGATACGCCAATGGCCATCAAATACAGGGGAATGTGGTTTTGAAACCATGAGGTTCCGGTGTTCATGGTTTCCAAGTTTGGCCATGCCCGTATGGAAGTCGGGAGGACAAAATCTGCACTGAATGACCGTGTAAACGGTGACGATCAAATGATATGTAACATGATGTAACATGATGTAACCAACAATATGGTATGTTGTATACTAATCAAGAATAATTAGTTAGGTATCAAGTGGATAATGTAATGTGCGCTTTTGGATGCTTTTGGTTTTGATTGAATAAATCATGTAACACCCAAGCCAAAGTAGTCAGTTTTTAGCAGGGTATCCAAGATTTGCCACATGGTGATCAACATTTGGGTGAGCAGTTTCATGGCCCAACAAATCAGATTCCAACATCGGGAAACATGGCTGCTGGTGTCATTCTGCCGCTATGTGTATGTTTGTTTGAGGATTGAAACCATCAACCTGTGGATCACTTGAAAACAATGAAACTTGCAATGCAATTTCATTGCTGGAAAAAAAAACAAACGACTGTTATTTCACTCTTCAACGGTCATTTTTGGGCCATAGCTACTGCGGAAGCATGCAAGGGTGAAGCCAAATTGAGTTCAACTCTATGGATAGTCGCTATGTCCATGATTTGTTTTTGCTATGTGTTGCTGGTTTCCAATATGTTTGATCGTAAATCTACCTGGAATGATGACTGTTATATAATATCCCCAAGAGTCACCTGTTTCTTTCAAAAATTGGTGGCCCAACCACCCGAAATCTCCCAGCTGCGTGAAATTTTTGCCGTGGGCGCTTGACGAAAGGCGCAGCACTTCCTTGAGCCTTCTCGCCGAGAGAGTTCCATTGGTGGCGGAGCATTGGGGGTCCCTGGATGCAGTGCAGTGCATGCAGTGCGACACCATGGGATGGTTGGTCATTTCTCCATTGAATTCCCATAGATCAATGGAACATCCTCAGTATTTAGATCAATGGAACATTTGGAACGGGCTTCTGCGGACAAACATTGTTTTTTTTTGGATACAGTAGATTGTTATAAGTCAGAAATTTATAGAAATTTAGTATACCCTCTGGTAAACTAACATAACTATGGAAAATCACCATTTTTAATGGGAAAATCCACTATAACTGGCCATTTTCAATAGCTATGTTAAATTACCAGAGGGTAAACGCCGATGTCCAAGTTTGAGAATTTGAGTCGACTGGAGCTCAGGCGTTGCCGGGACCTTTCAGGTGTTCCCCTGAAGGAGCTGGGGCCCCAGGAGGGCTCAAGAGGGGTGCTCCCTTTGGGGCGCAGCGACGGTAGAGTTTCTATAATGATGTCATGTGGTCAGCCCAATCTTAATCCATCCCCAATTAAGATTACCCTCTGGTAAACTAACATAACTATGGAAAATCACCATTTTTAATGGGTAAATCCACTATAAATAGCCATTTTAAATAGCTATGTTAAATTACCAGAGGGTACTAATTGGGCACCCCGATTTGGGATGATTCTGCAAACGCCCACATGACTGATGTTTGGTTTCTAAAGATCGTCTATGTTTGAGTAAAGAGTCAAACCGCCACAAATCGGACAACAGCAGCTTAAGATGACTTGAAGCTGCCAACCAGATTGGTAGATCAGGAAGGACCAACAAATGTGAAACAAGATACAACCAACAGCTCCTGATGTTGAGCCTGGTTCATGTGAAAAAAACTGCCTCTTCTTGGATTTCTTGCGTGTAGACTAGTGCGTAGACTAGTTGCAACAAAGCAAACATGCCCTTGTTTGGCCAACAACACTACTGTGTGCATCAGCAATCGTAGGTCAATGACCCATGAGTATCGTGGACAATAGCAACACCAATGCGTCCAAACTGGAAGATATCCCAGCCACTGGATCTCCGTCGAACGCAAGGCGTATTCTTTCCATTTGCTTGATTTTAATGTACATCGGAGGTCCCGGATTCGTTGAAAGCATCTAAGAATCTATATTACATATTAGTATGTTGTGGTTCGCATGATTTTGAAAAGCATGTTCACCACAGGGGAAAAGCTTGAACCTTGTCAGAACATCTTTCGGGGTGTAGACCCCCTCTTTTGATGCCTTGTGAATGGCTGACAATGAAATCTAGTGACTCTAGTGCTTGATTGGCAACAGGTGATAATGATTCATGATGATTCGCTGTTCTTCGTGGTGTTCCATGGTGTTCCGCAGTGATCTCGCACGCAGAGGGTAAAGCCGCGCCAAGGCAGTGCTTGATGTTGAAGCTGAAGGGCGTTCCTCAAAGTGAAGCCCAGAAACTCTTCGTGGAAGTGGTGTTCGAGGTGCATGGACTGCTGGTATGTTCCGGGGCATAGCTATAGGATAGATAGGCTATGATAGGCTATCAAGCCTTGCCTTGTGGTGTGATCTCCCTGGACTGATTGAATCAAATGGCTCGATTTGAATCCCCTGAGATGATTCATTACCCTTTGGTAAACTAACATAACTATGGAACATCACCATTTTTAATGGGAAAACTCACTATAAATGGCCATTTTCAATAGCTATGTTAGTTTACCAGAGGGTACCTTTTGCACTACCATGACAACATGGGACAATGATCCAGCTACGAAACTCATACCAAATGGCCCCTTGCTTCGGCAGGAGAATGCACTGAATGGAAGTTCATTGTTTCAACAAGTAAATGCAATACCTGGCCAAAAGTTGACATCTTTCTTAGATTGGTTCTTTCTTCATCTCTGGGGACCTTTTCAAAGGGGTGTTTTTCAGAGTTACTGTGGCCAAATTATTTTAGTTTATGTTTTGTGTGTTTTTTTTCCCGGAGTTTTGTGCTGTCTGAAAAAATGATGGAATGGGGCCAAAAAAATATGTGTTTTTTTTCCTCATTAAACAAATATGTTTTTTGTGTGTTGTGGGGTGTGGGACGAGGTTGCTGAGTAGAAGGGTACCCTGGCCCCCTTCTAAAAGTAGTATTGCAAAACAATAATATGCCAAAAAAAAAGTTTTTGTTTTTCTACTATATTAATTTATTTTAATTTTAATTTTCACCGTTATTTTCCTTTTTTGGCTACCTTGGTAGATTTTGTTGTTTCTTCGTGGCCGAACTGCCTCTGACCTGTGCAAAGCTGAAAAGCATCCCTTTGAGAAGGGCCAGGGGGCCTTTGAATGATTGGTAACCCCATTCGGATACATCTTTTCAAAGAGACGGCTTCCGAAACTTATTATTATTATTGGATGATTGGATTGCTCTCTGTGGGATGTGTTTTTACTTGACAGTGTTGTAGGTTCGTTGGGTAGGGTCTCACTGTGGTTTGAAACATGTCTGTGTATAGGTGAAGATGTGATCTTGTTGCCAATTTTGGCTCAAGATCACCTATTCGCCTGTTCTCTTTTGAGTCTGTGACCTTAACCAACTGTCCTTGTGAGATATATCTTTGATATGCTCCAAGAACTTTTACCCATTGTTACTTAGTAACAATGTCGCTGTCAGATATAGCATAGATGTCTAAGGGACTTAGTGTACGTGTGGAGCCGAAGCTACTGACAGAAAAAGGTATGTGTCCATGCCAGCATGTTTCAGAACGTTTTTGATTTCACCTCATATTTGATTGTTTTTTGTTTCCATTGGTTTCCTGTGTATATATATATATTATTACATTTAATTACACGCATATTATAAAATACTTATTACTTATGTATATATATATATGTATTATGTATATATATATAATTATATATATATGTATACCCATGTGTTTTTCCAACAAAACCAATCCATTGACAACCAACCCATCATCCCCACCTTCCCGGTCCTTAAACTGCCTTAAACCCCTATTTGCCTGCCAATTCCTCTGGTAATCTGGTTCCGAGCAAGCCTTTGTTGTGTGTTGATCAGGAAGGAAGCCAGAAACCCACATTGTCCCTGGATTTGTCTTCCTGGCAAGCAGAAGGCTTGCAGGCGCTACATGGGCTTCATGATCTTCATGGGCGTCAAGACACTTCTTTTTGATTTGGATCGTATTTGCATGTTTTCACCTACAAATTACAGACAACTAATTGATCAAACTTCGGAATTTTAGAAGCCATTATTAGGATAGTACCCATAAAATTGTTTGGGTTTAGAGTTTAGACTAAGACTAACCAAGTTCGCGTCTCCAGTTGCACACCTTTTTGGTTCGGCATACCTAAATCTGAGCAGATTTCAGGGAACTGATAGGTTGAATCGCTGGTGTTGAGTAGAGGCAAATCATCAATGTCAGGGTCAAGAATGAAGGAACAAGTTCCGCGGCGTTTATAGTATGACTTAGAAAAAGATAAAGTGCATTAAAGTGCCATTGGTTTCCTCCAAACTCACACACCCAGCAACTTCGTAGCAAAGTCAATACAGTTTCGGCGGGTCATGAAGTCAGAAACAAAAAACAGACATAGAATTCATTGCGCGTATCTACCAGCCCGACACCTTTTGGTAGTTTTATTATTCTTATTATTACTACTATATATATATATACAATATTATTATTTTATGTTGTCTTATATTATATTGTATTTTTATTTTTTTACTATATCATACCATGTATCATATGTGTATATGTATGGATAGAATACAACGACATCATTGCAACATCATAAGGAAACTATCCCAAAGTGGCCGTATTTCCCGTCAGTGAATTACTATACTTACCGGCCATAATTGTACAGTCTATTCACAATATCATGATTATAATATTCATATATATATATATATTGAATTATTATAATATAGTTATATATGTACATCCATGACAGGTGTCCGATGTGAACCACCTTTTAATGAACACATCAGCATAATTTAGTTGTATTATAGTTATATATGTGTACGTACATCCCTGACAGGTGTCACATTCTTTAATGAACACATCACGATGGTGCAACTCGACTCAGGCGATATGGTCTTTGGCCGTCACGGTAGTGAAGCTGGCCGCCGGAATTCACTTTTTCCACTTTCGTGTGAACGGTGTCCTTAACTCAGCCGAACGCATAGATGGGAATATAAGGGAATAGAACTATAAGCAATATGATATATATATATATATATATATACTTGGATGCCTCTGACAATGGGGTATCTCCTCCCAAAATTCGCCAACTAAGGCGTTTGCATTGTCTGGTGAACACATCCGCGTTGGCCGGTGGAATGCCTTGTATCGCAGCGACCCACTTTGCCGCTCATCAGCATCTCCATGTGCGCCGGATGCTTTTGCTCTTTGAGAACCCCGCAGACACTTCCCAGAAATGAGGGTACCCCAATAGCTGGATGGTTCATAGTAGACCAAAATAAAATGGATGATTTTGGGGTGCACCCATCTTAACAAACCCCCATTTGCCAGTGAATCAACATTTGAGACCAGCAAAGACTGTATATCTGTGTATCATTTCACCATCCAATTTCAACAGTACAGTTTTCAACCCAATTTTGATATATTTTTATGTTTCTAAATGACATGACAGATCGCCCCCTTTGCCGTGGCAATCCTAGGTCGCTATTTGTCGGTCAGGGACAGCCGTGGCCAGCGGGGAGCCCCACCTGGGGATGGTTGTTGGGAAATTCATAGACCTTGCAGAAGCGAGTAACCCCGGCCCCCAGTCGCACTAAAATATACAAGCATTTCAATCAAGAACTATAGAGGTATTCCCGGGTTTACCGAGATTAGTAAGATGGATCTCTTCCTTTTCCATCATCATATAGGATAGGAAAACCTTGGCAAGAGAGGCTGAGAATGGCATGTGTGATCCCAGCCAGTCGCTTTTGACACCGCCTTACTTGATATGGTCCTTTTTCAAAGGCTGGTGTTGATAATTGGGTATGAGTCAAAATGTAAGACCTGGGGGACCACAGATTTCAGTCTATTCTTAGCATTCATCATCCCATTATTGGGGTACTCAATTTTGACCCATACCCAATTGTTTTGGTACGTGGTAGCATGCAGATGATTTGGTTCTGTCAAACAATTATCCCGGCAAGAGACCCCGAACATTGTGGGCGGAGTAAACAGATCATGTATTATCATGTTGATGATGATGTTAATGTTGAGGATGATGTTGATGATGATGGTGATGGTGATGGTGATGATGATGGTGTGATGATGAGGAGGAGGATGAGGAGGAGGATGATGATGATGATGATGCTGATGATGATGATGGTGGTGGTGTTGTTGTTGTTGGTGGTGTTGTTGGTGGTGGTGGTGATGGTGATGGTGATATGATGATGTTGTTGATGATGATGATGATGATGATGCTGATGATGATGATGATGAGGAGGAGGAGGAGGATGAGAGCCTGCGCAGTCGAAATGCGCATGGACATTCACAAGAGCCATTTTGTATTGAAATTTACAGGGAAAAGTTCGATGCCCCGACCGGGGACATCGTTTTGTGAACAGCGGGCCTTAACAATTACCGTAAGGACCCCTCAGTGCGGCTACACTGTTTGGGGAAAAAAAGGATACTGAAGTCGCCACAAATAAGTAGGCCATCCATCAAAATGGGGAAATGAGGCCCCAACGACATTAGATCGATACCCAGTCTCGCTGGACAAGTTTATATATATATATACATACACATAATCGTAATTATTTATATATATACACATAAAACAAATATATATTTATATATATATATGCAATATGTACAGTATAATATTAGTATCAAAACATATATATATATATATGTCATTTATACCGTAAATGTCTTTTAATATTAATCCATATGATATAGTGCAAATAGGATTTACAATCCCCTTAACGGATTTTTGTCATCAGTGGTAGGTTTTCTCGCGGGAAGCGGGGCGCCACCTCAGAGGACAGTTTTCCTCGGTGAGCCATGGAATTCCCATTGTTTCAAGATATCACTAGCATTGTAAATCCATGTGTGTATAGTGAAGCGCAGCTACGTGTTTAGTTTTGTAGATGTATAATCATATATTGTATATATATATATATATATATGCATATAGATACAGTATGTACACAAGATGAACTGTGCCCTATGGTGGTGCTACGTATCCCTTTTCTTTAAACAGTTGGATCTGGATTCCGCGATTCCAAGGCTGGAGGAAGGACGGTACGCGGCTCAGAGCCAAGTGACGCCGCGTGCAGAGCGTCGTTTGGAATGATTGGATTTCATTGGGTTAATGCCCCCACACTTATAAGTTGGTTTATAAACCATTATACCTACCATAAACCATAGTTATTGGGATATGTATGAAATTTGGGGGTATAACTGGAATAAAATGTGAAATCGCCATGTTTATAAGGACAATGCTGATGCTGATTAACCAGTGGATTTGAATGTTGGCACTCGTGACCTGCTGAGAATGGTCGAGAAGACCCGGTCCAAGCGAATTGGTGATATGGCGCGGCGAATTGGGTGTAGGTTTATCCGATGGGTCGACCAGTGAAGGGTCGAAGTGCTACAACTCTTGCTTGGTTATATGATAATTCTTGTACCACCTAGTTCTTCATGGGTGTAAAAAAATGGAAGTTGGATCAGCGACCGAAATTCATTAGAAGTTGGTTGTGTTTCACGCAATGAACAGGTTAAGATGGAAAACATGATATCGTTTATTGTTTGTGCTCGGGCCAACACACTATCATTATCATTACAGGGTACCACAAACCCTGGGTCTACCACGTTGATTCCAAAGGAATTAATAAAGATCAATTTAAAGCAAATCACATTGTTACCATCAGGGGGTAACTATACAGGGGGTCCTTGAAAATTTGAAATCTAATTTTTGGGATCGCAGCATGAAATCATAGGCGCCCAAAAAACTGGTTCCCTAAATCAATGACCAACTTGGACACTGAGCATCATTCAGCAATTTCCCACGTGTTGCCGCAATTGTTTCAAATGTGGCAATTCTTTGATACCCTGCATCCCTGCATATCCATTTGCATTTTGGTTGGTTTGTATAAAATGATATACATCTCTCCATTAAACTGGTAAACATATTTCAAGACACTACCAATCCAAGATTCCCCAATCAATGGGATCCATATATTATGTCCATATTTATATATTTGGACTTCAGTCTCCAGTGTTGAAAAAAACGTGCTAAACATATTGAATATTGCATTTAAAAAAATGCAAACATTGGAATCAAATTCTGCAATGTGTATATATATAATTATGTATATACATGTATATGTGTGTATGGGTGTTTCCTAAAACAGGGATACCCCCGAAAAAAGGGCTCGAAATAAACCATGGCTGATCTAACCATGGATACCAGTTAAAAAAGAGTGATGCTGAGTTGTTTATTGGTTGCATTTGGTGTCTGAACATATTCTGAGAAGGACCCAGATTTGATGGTCAATCGCCATTTCGCAGGCCCATTAGCTTTGCGCACTTGACGTAGTTTTGCAGGATTTGGGGCAATCAAGTTTGATGTTTGCACCCGGTTCCCCATTTTTTGGAGACCATTTATCATTTACTGTAGTGAGTGTGGTGGTACTATATGTTTATATATTATGTGTCTTCGGCTGCATTGTCATGTACTGTTTCAGGATCTTCATTGAAGGGGGTACCCCATCTGTAGGCTACCGGCCACCCGACTTAAAACTCAGCCAGGCGTTTGATTCCGTTGTCGGTGATGCTTCGTCAGCCGACGCGACAAGTTTGCAGGACCCTGCAGCAGCTGAAGTGGATTTGGCCGGGTTCAAGGCATTTGAAAGGCCAAGTTTCAGGTGGATGGAAATTGTGTTATGGTGCAATTTTATATCTATAGGTGTATCATAAACTTTGGATAACAATATTTTTCGATAAAAACAGTTGAACGTTGTCTCGCTGAACTCTGACAGGAGGGCGGTGGCCAGATTGTTCGCCCATACAGTGTCTGCAGGGAGCCTCAGACGACAAGGACCTCACTGGTTCAAGGAAAATTCTACAGTAAAGCAGGGAAAGACCAACATGTTTAGGGCCTTTAGGGGTAAGAACCACGGTTTCTACTTGCCTCAGACCAAGCCATTCCGCACATCAGCAGATTCTGGACCGCACATTTTTTCCCCGGCCCAGGTGGACATTTGGGCCACGGTGATTCCGATGAAGAGCATGAAAATCAGGTGTGGAATGCGGAGATTTGGGAAATGTGCAACTAAACACAGAGATATCATCTCTTGTGTATAGACCATAGATGTTGTATACATTTGTAGTCTATTGGTTTGTATAGTTTTTTTTTGTGTCCATTGGAAGTATACAATATCCGAATCAGTATCCACATGTACCACTGATCAGAGCGAGCGCGGGTGCTATCGGTATGGATTGGTTTTTGTAAGGGATTATGGTATACCATTGGTACACCTGGTGTATTGGGATTCTTCAGGGATGAGTTATCTTGGTTCATAAGTACAGGTTGCTATTGAAAATGGCCATTTATAGTGAGTTTTCCCATAAACAATGGTGATTTTCCATAGTTGTCTATAAAAACGGAAAATCGCTATTCTTGGATTTAATCCCAGAGGATCCATGTATGGAATATTTACCTACATTGACCCCTAAAGTAATTTAAAATTATCCCAATGTAGGTAAATATTCCATACATGGATCCTTAGGGAATGGATGATTTGATAAACATGGCACGTAGCTCGGCACGGCCCGCCCGGTTGGTTGGCTTACCGCCCGTGGTCCCAGGATGCCTCGTTCGCTCCGTTCGCCAAAGAGATCTATGAAGGTGGACGAACGGGGGCTGATCGATCCGAATGTTTTTTTTAATCTACCCGGCCTGGGATCTACATACAAAAAGCTATTGAAAATGGCCATAGAAATCATCTTTATAGTGAGTTTTCCCATTAAAACTTGTGATTTTCCATACGTTACGTTAGTTTACCAGAGGGTACTGAATAAACAATTATTGGAAGAGGACATGTCCATTTTTGGCAATACTCCGAAAACTACTCTAGGAGGCAATTTGGATTAGGATTTTCTGGGGCAGTGACGCCCCTGTTGATCTGGGGTGAGATGATAGTGTTGCTTTTGAATATGGATCATTAATATAAATCATTCCCATCAAAATCTAATCAGCAATTTGGAACATGACAATGTTTGGGACGAGTCCAAACTTATTTGGTTGGTAGTTTTAATCACTGCCGTCCATATCTGAATTAATTCAGAATCGTACCCAAATGGATTACGTGTTTTTTTTGGGATAGGCTGAGCCTAGCCCTCAAGCACTTTGCAGATAGTTTAATGCCCGATTGAACCTTATAGTAACCTCAACACGGATGGAATCTATCTAAAATTAGTTTTGGACATGTTGCTCTATAATGCTCTATATATATATATACATATTACCATAAAGTTTATCCCTGTTGTTCTTTTTGCAATGTTTGATATGTTTGGTCTCAGCCCATTCCAAGGCTTGTTTGATCGAGAGCTGATGCTGCGCTTGGATGGAGTGGTTGGGGTTGCACAGCTGGCATCAAAGACCCACAGCTTGCATGGGATTGAACCAAGACATCATGTTGATATACCCTCTGGTAATTTAACGTAGCCATGGAAAATGGCCCATTTATAGATATTTATAGATGGTTTACCTATTAAAAATGGTGATTTTCCATAGTTATGTTAGTTTACCAG